GACACGCACTGGGTTCTGCAACACCTACCTAACATAATTTACACGGAGGTCCTACAAGTTATCCCTGGCACAACTCAAGCTCATATATCGGAAATCCTGTATGACGTGTTCTGCCACTGCGAATCCTGCGAAGAAAGCATTATTTGCGACGAGTGGCCCGGGACATTGTGCATTGTCATCATGGAAGAGTTGTTCCCGATAAAGACTCTGCCCAATGCTTCTAATCTTGCGCAAGTGTTCTTTGATGTCCTAAACTGTGAGTGGTCTTGTTGTCCTTGATTCATCGTACTCATACACTTCTAGGTCACAAATGGCTACTGTAGTATTACATCGTAGTTTCAGCCAGTGTGACCTGTGACCTATTGAACTTGCCGGACACATGTTCATTGCTTAGAACTCAGGCGGGAAGCATATTAGGAAGGCGCGCGAGCGCGCCGCAAAATTGATAAAATAGGTCAATGCTCTGTGACCTGGACAAACTGCGTAGTTAGCTCGCTAAGGTAGTGACTGTGACTAAAATTTGATCGTAATAGTACAGTAACGACCACCCCCGCATTTTACACCGCGACATTAGCATGGGTAACATCATGTACCGTTTCGACGACCAGCATAATGTCTGCGGGGTCTTGAACGACATGGACCTCTCCTCTGACCTTGACGCGATCTCGAAGATCCGAAGGCAACGTTGCTCCAACGCACTGGCACGCCACCTTTCATGGCATTTGATCTGCTGCAAAAGTACAGTCATCACCCCAAACACATATATCGCCACGACCTAGAATCCATTTTCTACGTCATGGTGATTTTCTTCAGTCGTTACGAGTTTAAGGCCACCCAACCCACTTCCGGTCGAGAAGAGCGACTCAAAAAACGGAGTCACCCTCCTCTTAGTGAGTGGTTTGACCCAACTCTAAGCTGGGACAGGCTAGCGAACGAAAAATGGGTCTTCATGATGCATCCAGTTTCATGCGATAGCCCACTCCACATGCGCAACATAATGTCGTCTTCGTTTGGGGGCTTTGAGGAATGGATTTCGGACCTTAAAGACGCCCTGGTCGACGGCTTTTGGGCCCGGAACCTGGTCATACGGCAAGAGCAGAAAGCACAGAAGATAGGCAAGGTGCCCACATCGTTTAACCATGAAACTCTCGGGGGCGAAGTTCAGTATTCCACTTTCTTCGACGTGATGAAGAACTTTGAAGGCAAAGCGCTGAGAGCGCCGCCGCAATCTGATAATGTCGACGTTACTATGGAATTGTAACTATGCCACGAATGTATATACGTGAAGTTGTCTATAAAACACATGCGCCGCACCGTTTCTTCTTGCTTGCGATCCACAAGTCTACGAATGCATGCCATAAGCCTAAGGTGGACTCGCTAAGACTGGGAGTTCGAGAACCGTGAAGTAAAGGCAAATGCAAGACGCGGGCTGAGGTGATTAACGGCGGATACTATGTCGTTCTCTTTAGGTGAAAGTTGTATGATGAGCATGACAGACCAAACCAAATGATAGTTCAAGTTGCATAATGGCATTTAAACTAAAAAGAACGTACACGCATACATATGGCATTGGACTCAACTTATTTTACTATATCCTAAAAATGTTCACTATCATGGCGCTAATCGTACACTTCACCTTAAATATGTCAACCGTCGTCTTCAAGAAAACGCCAGAGCACCCCAGGCCGCGACAGCACCGACGCCCACGGTCGCGACCGTCCTAAGCACCACCCTGCCTACGGTCCTCATGTGCTTGCGCCGTGGCTGAGCGATTTCTAGCTTCTCCTTCTTCGCAGTCTTCTCTTCCTCGTCGTCAACGTCGTCACGCTTGCGTTTCAACGACGGTGAGGAAGGGGTGGGCGCCGCCAAGGCAGCTTTCGCCATCTCGATGCCGACTAACGCCGTCCGCGCTTTACTGATAATCTCACTCAGTTCTTCCTTCGATGCCTCCATCTCTTCTGTCGCCTTCTTCAACTTTTGTTCCTCCCTCTCGCGTTCTATATTCCTGAGAGCCTCGCAATCCTTGTCCTTGTCCTGCAGGGCCTCAATCTGAGCTTGCATGTCGGGAATGTCAAGCCCCGAAATTCCTTCGACCTGCTCGACCAATGTCGTGACAATACCGAGCATGCCCTCTAGTTCGTCAACTTTGTCCTCTATGTCTTCCAGTCTGTGGTCGTATTTCGTCTCCGAGTCAATACCGCATCAGGACGGGGGTGACAGGCGCGACAGGAACGCATGGGAGTAGAATGGGACTGGTTGGGCGCAGGGGAATCGACGTGTCCAATGATGCAGCGTCGGAATCCGAGAACATCTCAAGAAGAGGAGACTCATCACGCGCTGGCCAGGCGCCAATGATCGCTGGCTCAGGCTCGCTCTCCTTGGGCGCAAGAGGCGGTAGAGGAAAGCTCGTGGTGAATGCGGTGATGGCATCAAGATTGGAGAAGAGAGATTTGAATGAATTCTGCCGAGATGGGGGAATTTCCTCTATATCTGAGTCATGATCGGAAGAGAACGAGGAGGAGGACATGGACATGGACGAGTCGCCGTCGTCGTCATCATCATCTGTCACAGACAGCCCGTACCTCCCCGACGCCAACTTGATGGGAGATGGAAGGGGAGGGAGGTGCGAAGGAAGAATCTCTACCCGCACAGTCACAGGGTGCACACATTCGCCATTCCTAGCCACAGTTTTCCCGAAGGTAACAATATCCCCGCTGTGCAAAGGATGCGCTTTGAGCTCCTGTAGCTTCAAAGAGCCGACGAACGTCCCATGGTGGGAGCCAAGGTCAGCGATGGTCACCTGTCGTATCGTTGACATTCAAAATATAGAGCAAGGCGGAAGGAGTCTCACCACCCCATTCTTCCCTAACTCGATTTCCGCATGTCGCCTGCTCACCACGGGGCATCTGAACATGGCCTTGCCATCTTCCACATCCAAGCCCGCCTCTGAAGGTGGACGCCGGCCGACTAGGATCTTGTCGTCCTTCGCTGTCGGCCTCATCGTCTGCTCCCTCCTATCCCCAATGTCTTTCTCTGGGTCCTCGAAGTGAAGCAGGACTCCACGCCACGGTCCGGGTCTTGAACCCATGTACTGGATCTCCGAATCGTCGCCGTCGTCAATCATCACCATGCTCTTGCTCGTACTTTGCATTATCACTGCTGTGGAAGTCAAAAGGCAAGGCGGAACCGGGTGGTAACGACTAAACCGAGATGGGCCGGATGGCCGGCGATAGGAGGAATTTGTCATCAGTTGCATGGAGGCAGAATGCATGGAGGCAAGCATGGAGGCAGAATTACTAGAAGAGTGGGATAACTTGGGCGCTGGAGAGGGAGTACTCTGTAAGCGTATACGAAAGAGCAGAGAAGACAGTGAACGTACCAATAGTCCTCGTACAACTATACAGTTCCAAGTTGATATCTCAACCAACACCAAGACGTGTCTTCGAACGGGGCTATCACTTCAAGAAACGTGTATTGCTGCACAAAGGTGGAAATGAACGCCGTATACATCCAGGAAGGGCTGCGGTGCTTTGCACAACTAGGGCTCAGAGTTTCTTTGCCATCCGAGTCGAATATACTCTATCCATCCATCGCGTCGCGTGCAAGTCGCGATTCATACAGGTAAAAGCATGGAAAGGTAGTGCAGTATCTGTGTCGGGACGCGTTCAAGTGAGGAGAATCTGTACGACGCGCAGAGGTGATCGTGGTGAAGAACGAAAATTGTTCGGCAAATGCCGGCAAAGCCCGCTGCTCTTTCAAGCTTCTTTCATCATGGTCCGCTCAAAACGACGGACTTGTATCTAACGCGTCCCGACGATGTCTACGTATACGGACGTTATTAGTGTTATGCCGGATTCGTAAATGTCTCCCACAGGCTCTTTCTTCACATCGACTTTGAAATCGTCTACTCCAGTTTTATGACAAGAGTCTATGCCTTCGTCACAAACCTCTAGAAGAATCCAATCCCATTCGTCTACGAGAAATTCCGCTTGTTGAGGTGGACCGCTTAAAGTTGGTGTCAATCACAGAACTTTTCAAATGGTCACTAGCACCCTCATCTTCCTTTCATCGTCTTGGAAAAAATCATGTGTTCCGGACTCCGCCAACAGCCTCGGAGTGTCCTTCGTACCATACTCCTAAAGAGGTCCTCTTACGTTCCCATTGACCGCCTTCCTACGTCGTTCTCTCTGTTATTTATCTCTTCTGCCTGCTGTTCACACTCGTCTTTGGTTCCCTATTTCACACTTTGATAGGTGCTTTCTCTTCTGTGTTCTCCGTCTCTTCATAGCTTGCACTTTGCTGCGTTCAGGCTCCGCGTCGTTTAGAGATCACCAATGTATGGAAATGTTCAACAGCTTGACCGAGCAGATTCTTCCGATCCGGGTAGAGTAATCTTCATCTCCCCGTGCTATTAACTCAAGAGGCAAGTGCTAATACCAAATCGATGCGTCATTTCGCCTCTCGTGTGGGGTCAGAGCGGAGATGAAGACTTGTGCACAGGTCGCCTTCGCCGACTTCCTCCAGGAATATCTACTGGGCACTTCGCATACAACGTAGCGGGCTTCTTGGCAATCTTCGAGACTCAAGGACGCAACAAGGCCTTCGAAGGCTTTTCCTCTTCCAGACTTCGCGCAACATACATGTTGTCGTTGCGGTTTGTTACTGTCTGATTAAGTATAACGCCGGGACTAACTTGGACTCGGAGACGGGAATATTTCTTGCTCCCTGCCATAAAGGATGGGTACATCTGCGCTCGATCCAAGGCTCGATCTGACACCAGAAGTTGCCTGCTCATACGAGGAAGAAAGCTTTGCTGGCTTGAGATACGCCGGGATTAAGTACCTACCCCGGACCAAAGCATGTGTATGCAACACTATCATGCCACTGTTTAACGACCGGAGTTTGATAACGTTCAGGTGCATTGTGGTGCGCACGTTACTTCGATCAACGATCGACGACGTAGCAACGCCTTATACCGTATAGTTTTTCGATTTCAGCAAGACCCCTTAGCTCAGCGGTAGAGTGTGTGATTCCAGCTTGCCGGCTTGCTTAGCCAGCGGCATCCACAAGGCCATCCGTTCAAATCGGGTAGGGGTCATTGTTTTTGCACGATAACAACACGGAAACAGTTTAACAGAAATGCGCAGAATAGCGTAGGGTGGCGCAGTAAACCTCCCAGAGGTGTTACTACTGTTAGTAACGGTATTGATACCGACCCCTGGTTTTGAAACCGTTACTAACGGTTTCGATACCGGCACGTGCTTTACCACGTGATGTGGCGCACCGCTCCGCCGCCCTCCGCCCGCTCTTATCCCGCCACTTTGAGCCTGCCTGAGTGCAAGCGCGCCATCACGTGAAGTGATCACGTGTTGATATCGAAACTGTACCGATACCTCGGCCGAGGTTTCGATACCGTATTGATACCGTTAATAACCGCAGTAAACCCGAGGTGTATCGAAACCTAGGGTTTACTGCACCACCCTAGAATAGCGCGCCGCAAGCCCATTTTTTCACTACCCAAAATAGGCTTCCAGTACGCCAAGTAACTTCTGTTCAAATCAGGCAGGGGTCATTACTTTTTCAAGGTATGAAAACAACACGGAAACACGCAGAATAGCGCCTGGACTAAGCGCCCTGCAAGCCCTTTTTTCAAAAATGCTTCCAGTACATTTGTAATCTATGACGTATTACTGCGCCACATTGCTTCACATTGAATTTCACAGTCGAACAAACAAAGAACTGAACAAGGCATGAAAAGGTTGACATATATCTAGTATACCGCCACATATGTATGCGAACCCAGAAGCATGACAAATAAGTACATGTTGTATTTGCATACAACTAATCTAGTACGCCATCGACTACGGACCAGTGATACGTACTTGTGTGCCTGCGCTACACTCCTCCATCTCGGGCACTACATCAAGGACTTCGCGCCTTCCAGACGGCGTAAAGATGCATGAAAATGAGTGCGTGGACCCAGAAGTCCCGTGTTGTACATATTTATTTTGGAGCTAGTAAATACGCCGCGCCCAAAAGGTATTGGCATCACCACCCCGGGCCCAATTGAGGGATCCTACCTATTGACTGTCTATTGCAGAATACACAATATAGCCTCTGTTACAAAGACCACAGTCCCGTGTGTTCGCAAATCATTCACGATGACCATGATAATCGGACACGATCGTCTCTCGCTTTGCTGCAGAGTACAAGTTAGAGTAATCACTGTAAATACACGGCGACTTACAGTAACCCTTGCAGGACTACCCGAGGAGCCGACAGCGCAACATCCGGGGAGGGTATCAAAACTTGTCGAGAACTCATCACGGACTTGGAAGAGGAATCCAATCTGGTGTCGGTATACATATGGAAGCGGAATATATCCAGAGTTGGACTCTCCGGAGAAACGGTGGTTGACACGCCAGTCACATCTTCCAGTACATCAACAGCTTTATACCACGCAGCTTCATTCGCCGCGTCGAATTTGGAAACCTGGATGTAGCGTTGGACGACGCTCTTGGCTTTCACGGCGCACGACGGGTCCGAAATAACGCCCCTCACTAAAATACCGAGGAGGAGGTTCGCTATACTTTCAGGTAGCCGTATTTCCAAGCTAAGCGCGTCATCAAGTGCAGCGGCGAAGGATGTTTGGGATGGCACACTGAAAGGAGACTCCCGCTCAGGATTGATCTGGAGGAAGAGCCGTCGAAGAGTGTTAGCCGCCTCGTAGGGCAACTCGTGCGGCCGTCGAGAAAGACGTGAAACGAAGTCGGAGGTAAGGTGGAATCCAGCCTGATTGAGAACGCTGCGGAAGACGCGGATGTGGTTAAGGGTACCATACACCATGCTCTCGATAAAGCACTTGTCACTGCTGGATGCAGCCGCATCGACCAACTCTTCCAGATATTGCCGTATGGCATCCATCCTCATATACTCCCCAGACCAATGCGGTCGCTGAGAGAACATACTGTCTTCCAAGGCTAAGAGCTGGACCCTTATGCGCTTCAACACAAGATGAGAGTGCGTCTGCGCCACGTGCACTTTGTGCAGCTCCAAGCGTTCTGGAGACCATCTCCGCGTCCGGATGAAGCTGAGAACTTCCATTTCCAGCTTGAGCAGCTGATCAAGATGCATGTCAAGCAGCGTACGGGCCACCACAGCGCGAGCCGAAACTGCAGAAAACTCTCAGATTTAGGCCATTAATAGTATCAGTCTCTTGACCTACTTGTAAAATCAGAGATGCCAGAAACCTCCTTGCCGGTCGTGTCGATATGCTTCAGTGTTTGCTCGTCGAAACGAAGGGTTTCCCTTGACAGGAACAAATTCTGCGCCACAGGTGCCTGCGAACGAGGCAGCGACATCATCGTCAGGGACCAAATGGCACTTAGACAGGTCGTAGCACGTTTCTGAGCTATGGCGTTTTCAGCCCGTAACTGTTTGTCCATACAAGACATAAGCAAACGCGGAATTCGATATCCTAGGCGTATTGTCACTGAATCGTGCCCCAAAAGTCGATGGAGCAGTAGTTTCGCGCTATAATCTGTGGATGCTACGACCTTTGGTATGACTTCAACAAACGACTCTAATGCGTTGTCATCGCGAAGAGATTCCAAGGTCCAGCACATAGCTGAGAAATCTCGCTCATCCCTTTCAGAAGAGATCTCGGTTGCAGAATGTTCCCGAGCATCCTTCATCCCCATGTCCGCTTCTACTGTTCTCTTGCGCCCCGTCGCGTCTCGATAATGGATGAGACGTAATGTGCGCAATATGTTCCAAGTAAGCGGAGAAAGAGGAGTGCGGTATGGACAGTTGAGACAGAAAGTGGGAAGGAGCGTGATGAGCGTGTATATGACCGTGCAGGCGACAAGAATCCCAAGAATGAGGTACGCGACGATGTCGTTGATCGCCAGCAAATAAGCGAAGAGACCGGCCAAGAAGAATAATAGAGATAAATGAAGGAGGAATGGGATGATCTCTACTACGGCCATCATTTTAAATCTGTCAAGGCCTTGGTAGAGAAACGCGGAGATGCGCGCGCGTCTCTGTGGCGTTGAATGGTGCCCACTGGCTTGGATATAGTTTCGTGTCCATTGTTGGACTAGGGTAGCGAATAGAGCACAGAGTAAACTGAACGATAAGCTCAGGTACCAGAGAATATTGCAGACCAGCGCCGTGGCTGGTAGGGAGAATGGCTCAGTAGCGACAGGGAGAGAAGTCGCAGCCAGTTGATCTCCGTTGGCAATAACGCTGAGTTTTTCAGAAATTTGAGACAGAAGGAGGATCATCTTGTCGTCCGTGTCCGGGATCAAATTTCGATAACTTTCCACCAAGAACGCGGTAACGCTGGCTGAAAAGAGACCGGCCTAAGGTTCCAGCTGAATCGTTTCAAGTGGGCATCCAACCATTTGAAACACGTACAAATATTAGGATAGCATCCATGTCGCTCTTCCACTTGTGTGCAAGTGCATTATCGTACCTCTCCGCTTCGGAGAGATATGCGTTCCATATTTTGGCCGAAGGATCCTCGTACCGGGGTGATTTCATGTGATCTGTTGCAGTGTCATGGGGTGCATTCAAGTCGCCATGTAAATCCTTACCATTCGTGCTGTTCGCTGCCTTTGTTCCCTCCATGATCCCTCGTGTCGATGGCAATCAATGCTGAAGGCTGAGCAAGCTATGCTAGCTTATCGAGTGGTGCACCGCCTCAAGAAGAGTCGCGCCTTGTTGAGTCTTGACTGATACCATCAACGCTTCCGTCATATGTATGGTCCACTTGACGAGCCTGGGATTCGGAAGGGTGGGTTTTGTTTACGCCGCGTACGTTAGGGCTAAAGCACGGGCTGCTTGGGTCCGCCAAGGGCGCCACTGTCGCTCTCGATACTCGCTGCGGGGAGAAATGTTTTACTGGGCTGCATAGAGTCTGTAACGGACATCATGACGGAAAGAGGACAAGCGGCTAAGCGGGGATGCGGGGTAGCGCTTGAAATTCGATCTTCGGACCGGAACATAACCGGCGCGACTCAAATAAAGTCATGACCCTCGTTTCTTGGTTTCCTTCAACACCTACGCCTCAGGTCTGGTCGTTGTCAGAGACGCCTCACACCTACACACTCTCTCAAAATGCTGGCTCGGCTATCTATAGGGTCTCATGAAGCGCTGCATCTGTCGTCTCACACCGAAGACGATGACAAGCAGGCTCTGGTGAGCAACAGCTGTTCCATTCCTGGAAAACATTCTCTGACATATAACAATTAGACAGTAAACATCGACCTACTCTTGCAGGATATCGTTTTCCATATTCCAGATAATTGGCGACGGGCAGCCTCGCTGTATGGCAATTCACTTTACGCCTGCAGAAATATCCAAACTATACTCTCAGACGACGTGAAGTGTATAGAGAAACTCTTCTCGGATCTCGAACAAACGTCTTCAGAAATGGAAGATGACGAACTCGACATTCTATCGGTGTGTATCCTTTCTATGGTTGCTGTGCCACTGCGTGCTTATTGCTAGCAGACATGCGATTCTGAAGACGACCTACTTCATTCTTCAGCGTCTGTATCTACTGTTCTGGATACCCGCGATGTGCCCACTGCCTCTTCTTCACGAACATCACGTAGGCGACGGTCGCCGTCGGTAAGCTCCAGCAACAGATGCACTCGATCAGCCGTTCACACGTTGCTCAGCCCGACTCGCCCTGTTTCGCTATCCCAGAAATAATCATAACGCCCTGCGCAACTGAACCACCCGACATGTCCTGTCGCGTACCGTTACAGGATAGCGCCTACAATCAGCGTCTTACGGTGCCGAGCCACACCTCCGTCAACCATTCATTTCCCCCCATGCGATCAAGGGCTCCGCCAATACCCTCGATCCAAAACTGGGCTTGGCGGGATGGACATTGGCAAGCAATACTACCAGGCTTAGAGGAGCAGTCCAGGAAGGGTATGTTTTCGCGCCCAACAAATATTCGTCGACGAGCATCGCGGTCCTGTCGGTTGAATCCAGCCCTCATTCTGCGCTCTCGCCGGTGAAGATGCATATGTATGGGTCATGCTTTTTTCATGTTTCTGTCATCATGTATGCATACGACTGGAA